AAATTTACCACTCAAATAAAGTACTCACAAAGTGAAGAAACATTCTAGAATAAATCAAAATGCTACATTTAACAGTTTCGTCGCACATGCTCCACTTTTTTTTTATTATTTCGTCCCACTCTGCACCGCTACGAGCTTTGACATCCCTTCACATTCAACAAGAGCGACAGCCAACCCGAGACAGCACTCGACATTTGTTTTATTTAGCTTTAGTTCAACCCAGCCCCAGGCTGACAGCTTCCCTAATAAAGAAAACCTAACCTAACCTCTTCCAAATTTATTTACTTTACACAACCACTGAACAGTATCGGGCGGCAGAGAAAATCAGATGATTTGAACGTTGCCAGTAATGTTGATACTACTTCGAACATAGTAGCCTGGTTCTTAAGCCAAGCCATGTGAATAAACCTTCAGAAAACGCCTATTTTTTCGCATTCGCTGGCGTATGCATTTTTCAGATGAAATGAACATGTTATAAATCATAAAATCCCCTCAGCCCACTGTTGACCGTTTATCTTCATCAAAAGGACAGATTATTTGATTGTAATTGTTAAAGGATATTTTTTTCGGCTGAAAACAACAAAAAACGCGTTTTTCCATGTATGATGAGGTTGATGGTTACGTCGAATATGCAATCAGATGCAGTGCAGTTCATTGCAAGAACTAGCATTACATTTGCTGTATGACATATATGCAGAGGATGTAATAAATCCAACCTTACAATGAATGTATGAGAAATTTGTTTTACGTGGAGAGTATTACGAAATACGATCAGTTATATCGTACATATTTAGGCTGGTGACGATGTGTTACCAATTATGATTTGTTCCAGGCTTGTTGCCCACATAGTATGACACTAATTGCAAGAGCCATGATCAGCAACTTCGTCGTCGTCACCTGATTCGAACGGTAGTACCAATATAAGATTAATAGCTTAATTTAGCTGGGCCCTAACCCTAATGACAGCCATTTGTTGTAGTTTGTTGTGATGTAAAGAGCTCGGTGGGCTACTAGTGACCGGTGTTGCTAATTGAGCAGACGATCATTCCTAAATTTTTGGTTTTTGTAAGCAGAAAAGAACGAAGAACACGATTACTTTGTAACGCCTCCGCCAGCTCTCAGACTAACAGCATAGCGGAGACGCTTCATAATGAGGCTAGATTGATATGGGCGTTACGATTTCTCGTAGCACTCCAGTATCTCCACCATTCTAGCACGGACCGCAACAAATTATCACGTGAAGCGTTTGTTTCCCCAACTGATACATTCGATGCTTCTTGCATCAGGTGAATATTAATTCATCTCATGCAAGCTGATAAAGAAGAAATTAATAAACAAAAACAGCCAATCAGATTACTCCGCGTGTGAAATCCAAGGTGATAAAAAAAAAACACCTAGCCATGGTGAGAAGAATTGCAGTTTGGCTATCGTATTAGCAAGAAGCAAAGTGAGAAAGTATCACCGTTTTGACTTACATAGACGGCGTAGGAGTTTCTAAATTAAAGTCTCGAGTCTCGAGTTGAATTAAGTGCATATAAAATAGCACGTCCATCCTTCGAGAGAAGGTGTTTTAGTGGGGACCGAAATCCATCGACGTTAGCAGCATCATCCGAGTGCGCCGGCAGCCAACACAACACGACAAACGACAACGCTAAGGGCCTTTGTCCAGGTGAGCGGCAGTGAATTCTGCGGATCGTTGAGACCGTGGTGCGATCACCGACAAACCGACATGAATGATCATACAAATTACAAATAAAATTCTGCTCAAAGCACAAAACTGACATCTGCCGCCGTGTTCACGGTAATATTTATCCTAGCCACGAACACGCGTACAAAATTAATGAGTTGGTCCGTGTCTAATCTATTTCGGGGAAAATTATTTTTATCTAGATAAAACATTTCTATTGTTTTGACAGATGGGATCGCTACACATTTGAATCGACCGTTATAGATTCTCGATCAAGAGTTTAGCTTAAGTTTCATGTTGGTTTGTCGGTGGTGCGATCTCGGCACGTGGCCGACATTCTAGTCCGGTCGTCCATCTAGTGAGCGTTCGCTGAACTGCACAGCGACATCACCAGGAGCAAGTAACGCGAGTTGTTATCGCATCGAAAACGAGAATGGTTAGAGCTCTTAGTTTTAAGATTAACACACTATATGAATACAAACCAAATTTTTTCATATGTATGCGATAGTTTTTAGAATTTTTCTCCCAGATTTCCCTGTGAGTGAGAAACAGATTGCAATATTTATCCATTTTGCCTTCCCGTAAATATACAATATTGATAAAATTTTTGATTCCGAATTTTTAGGTTATTGATTTATAAACTTGAAACAGTATTTGGATGCCTTTTTGCGCGACCGTTAGACCTGCTCTGAATGAGCTAGCCTGGCACCTTTGACACGCATTTTCGCAACACGACCTTGGTTGTGTTGGCACTTAAGCGGAATTATTAATTATAATTTAGGGCTTTTGGTCCTGGCTGGTCCGGGTTGGAAAGGAAGTGTGAAAAACAACATCTCCCAGTCCCATTCCAATTCATCTCTGCTGTCCAGGATCCTATGAAGCCAAGCATAACATAATCCCACTGAGAGTGACGATTTGGTATCGTTTAGTTTGCTTCGTTTGAGTTGAGTTAATTTGAACAGCTAAATGTCATTGTCGGTCACAGAGGTTTGATGTGACGTATGGGGTTCAGGGACATAACGGTGACCGTTTTTGTTTGCTGCGTAGAAGATCGCTGGTTCTATGCTAGACCCCTATGCATTACTGAGTTGATTTGTTTTCCTAAACACGATCCAATCGTTAACCAAGCTAATTCCTATTGTTTCCCCTGAGATGAACTAGCCTACGGCTAAAGATCTCTAAAATAAAGTAAAAAAAATGGTTCCCATTATCAGCCCATCCTGCGACTTCAAACAACGCGAATGTCATGGCAGCAATTTTCTTCCCTCTCCACAGTTGATCTGCATTTAGACATTTGGACATGGCCAGCGTCAGTATTGCACAAAATACATGAGACAACCACCATTTGCACATAAGGGATAAGCTCTACTCCCAGTTGCCGCAGCTGATCATTTCAATAAAAAAGAGTAGCAACCACGGGGCGGTCCATCATGCTCATGAATTTTGATTTTTGAATTCATCATCATTACCCAATGAAGTCAATTGCAGCTCATTCCATGTCGTGTAACGACGTAATTATATCGTAATCAGTCAGCTTGTCACAACTGAATCCTCGTGCAAATTTCACGTCAAATTTGGCTCGTCTTAATCAAGTGCCCGTACGAGCTTCATTAACAGCTCACACATGACGCCAAACCAAGTCAAGCGAAGCACCTGTCTGTCATCACAGGCAGGGAAGATGTATAAAGTCATGTGTGTAAGTTTAGACGATACCGGAGGCAGAAACTGCTGCAAAGGATTACATGTTTCGAAGTCATCCTATCCCATGGCAATATGTTGCATGAAGCTATGCACATTAACATCTATATATATTTACAAACACACCCTCGAGGGCATACATTGGCCAGAAAGGGTGTCAACAGTAGCAGCCAAGATTTATGGTTGTTTAACGTTTGCGTGTTAGATGATACTTTTAGCTTTTAGTTCATTTTAGAAATGACGGTTACGGTTTATTCAACAAAATTAAAGAACTTTAATATCGTTGCCATTTGTCTCACAATAGTGAGAAAACTGATGATTCAACACGTTTTCCCAAGTCACACACACGCGATTCACAGATGTGCTTGATATGATTCAATATTGGATCCCCCCAAACAAGCACAAACGTGTGTTTTCCCCCCACCCACAACAACGAGCAGAGAATCAATAAGAAACCATACAAAAATACTATTAACACGATGGTTGCAGATATTCCTACCAGCGAGACGGTTTTGGGTAGCAGCTGGTAGCAAGTTCCTGCGAACATAGTGACGGTGGGGGTCAAGAAATCAAGAATCATACATTCACATCCCCCACCCCGCCATCATCCCGATAGCGAACGAAGGATGGGTGTCCGACGAGATGGCAAAGTTGTTGCCGACTTTGCAGCTGATGTTTGTTTCATGTTTCTTTTTTCCGGGCGAGGAAAGTGACAAACAAAAGTTCCTCGAAGAACGAATACGAACACGATTTCGCTCTCGAATTTCAAACTGACGGACGCGTCTCCTTCTCTAACTCAGTCTGAGGAACGCAACAGGTTGATTTATTCAAGCGATCCTAATGGAAAGTTTTACTATGTGTGCGGGGTCACAATTGACGGCTGTCAACCAGGGAAGCAAAATGCTGTTAATGGATGGTTGAACGGGTGAAAATTCAAGGCAGGAGTCGCGATATCGGATTTCATTAGCACGACAAGGAGCCTACGGCCTTGACTGGAAATAGGAAGGGCAAAATAGATTGTTGAATTTTCCATTGATTTCGATAATTTTCTAAAATATGTTTACATTGCGATTCTAAGAAGTCCCCTTTTCAGTAGTTTTATTTAGCCATTATTATCAAGGGCATTTAAAATCAACAGGAGATTAAAACCTTTTAAGAAAGGAGCTGAAAAAATCGGGAAAACAATGTATGGGCACATGGAACATGTGCCACTCCGTATGACACAAAAAGCGTTTGTTCTTAAAGACATCATAAAAAAAAATGTGGGCAAAATATCCCTTCAACACAAACCAGAACGGTGGTAAAAAAAATCCCCAGACCCCCAGTCTTTTATTGTATTTTATAAATTAGTTGGTTGCCTATTTAAGCTTGCTTCGGAGAAATTCATTAACGAATTATTTGAAAATTGTTTTCCTCGGAACAAGCAAAAATCAACAACCAATTAATTTATCACCTCTCTCATAACATTATTACCCAACGAACAGTTTGAGACACCAGTTGAAATATAATTCGATTTTCCTCGAAATTTGTTTATCACAAACAACCGCCAAAACAATTTAATCAAAAACCCATAACAACAAAACCTCCTCCGAAGGGCATTCAGTGAAAAGCTTACCTTTTGTCGATGGCTGTAATCCATTCCATAGCCATTTTGTTCGTCATTATGATGCCGACTTTCCTCCTAAGTCACAAATACGCACACAAACACTCGCACTTATTACCACCCACACACACACCCTCTTGCACTGCTCTCTCCCTCTCTACTGGGGATGATCGAATGATCTGAAACGACCTGGTTTCACTTCGCGGAACACTCAAATTTATCAAAACACTCACCACCACTTAACACTACGGCTCCGTTGGGGTAATTATTCCCTATGGATACTATGGGTCTGTAAATCATGAACTCAGGGATGAAATTTTTCCACTCATTAATAATTTTCCATTGTTCTTTCACAGAGTCGTTATTTTACCCAGAATTCATCGAAGTATTCAATTGGGTTGATAAATATTTGCGGCGAAATCCTTCACAGGTATCAGTACTTTGCTATATATTCTCTTCGAACGTCGTTGTCTGCTCGCTGGCGTGGATGACGCAACGGAGGGGGAATTCAATTTGGATTTTATTTATTTTTCCTCTAACTGCTTTACTCGACTTCTCGCTCGAAAAAAAACAGCAAATCAATTTCCCAAAGTTAATTCACGAGTCTATTTTTCGCCAGTCGATTTAAATTCATTTCCAGCACTAGCTAAACACTCGCTGACAAAATCCCATCATTCGTCCAGCAATGGGCACCGGAGCAGCAACAAAAACGGCCCGTTTCGCTGTAACGGGACCGCATTTCGAATTTCCGGACGCGGCAGTCTTGCCCCGAAAACTTTTGACACTAGGTTTTAATGAATCCCACTTCGCCGGAATAGCATCCCGTCGTATGTTTCACATTCGGTTTTCCATTCCAGCGTCTAGCGCCTTCTGGCCGCTTTCAAAGCCTGCTCCGTTAAAAACACCGTCATGGAAATGTAAGTCCGTCGTCGTCTATTCAGCAAAGATTAAAATGGTATGTGGTTGCTTGGATGGTTACTGCGATGCCATCTAAGCGTGTCCAAATCTGTGCACCTGACCATTCAAGGTGAGCTGGGATTTTTGCTACCGGTGGTGTCAGTGCCGGCCAACCGTTGGAAATTTATGGTGCTGGTCGGCTCCAGCAACGTCGGTGCGGTGTCAGCCAAGAAGGAGTATTACTTTTCAATAAATCTCTCTACACGATGTCCTGATGGTGCACCGGTCGGTCCTGGTGAAAGATGAGAAAAGAGAAGGCAAAGTTTAAATTAGTGTTTTTTGAATGGGTAAGTTAGGTGTATATTTCAGTGAAACTGAGAAGGTGTATGTATCTTCATTATGGTCCCGGACTAGATGACCATGTTGGTACGTGTGGTTTCATCCATAGAAGGAAGAATAATTAATTTATAGCTGTAGATGACTGAATTTTGATTGGGCAAAGTTTGACCAGTTTTGTGGCCAAATTTTGAGAATTAATATTGCGAGTGAATATAGGAATCACCAATCGACGTATGTGACGGCTGCTGGGCTTAGGGGAGCAGGCCTCTTCAAGATTTAACGAGGATCTGGAAACGTGCTCATCCTCAGATTTAAAATTTTTCAAAAAATAAAAGCATTTAAAAAAATCATTTTAAAAAACGATACCTTCGTCATAAATTGCTAACAACTAGGCCAGAAACTGTTTTAGATCTCGGTTTCTACACCAACGCTTCTTAATCTATAGTTTTGTAGTATTCGTCAGAATTTACGAATATTATAAAACATTGATAAAACTTTCAATGTTACTTGGGAATATTCACCCAGCTTTTAGCCAGGAAAGGTTGAAGTTCCCAAACTTGTAATAGTTACTACATTAATCTTTCCATCTTTTTCTAGATTCAACCTGTGTCTTTTATATCTAGTTCGTTTATTTTGAAGGCTCAATCGCGTTATCTTTACGGAGCCGATAATTCATTGTTCACTGTTTGTAACAAAATTAAATTAATTCTATGTCTAGTGGAAGTTGGGCCGAATACTAGCGACTTACCCAAAGATGGATGGGTACATTGTCGAAAGATGGGATCAGGGAAGGAGCTTGGGGGTGGGATTTTATTGTCCCATCAGGGCAATGTCGCCAATATGAACGATAGTGCAGTTCTAGTTTCGTCTGGAGTTCGACTGCCTGTGGGCGACGATGAGGCTCATCGAGACGCGACACAAGGCAAACAAAAATTAATAAAGATAGACAAAAGACAAAGGAATTACATTCTTATACTAGACATTTCCAGAAACACATAAATCGACTGCATATAGCAGAGATCGCGGGTTCCCAACGCGTCTCTAACCTGTGCTCTTAAATGAGGAAGAAAATACTACAACTTCAAAAACAAATGTTTTAAAAATGCTGATTCACGGCAATTTCGGTCACCAAATCACCACCAAAACTCGCGACAGACACATTATCAACACGCTCCCGGACTAATTCACTAACCGGACCGATCTCTCAATAGAACTGCACGCCGAAAGTGTAGCATCCGAACTCGGAGAACCGGGCTCCCGGGAGGCAATGAAAACCGACACCGAACAATGGAACTGAAGCTGCGCCGTATATTTTGGAGGTGAGATTAAAGGTCAACCTAGTTACTCAAGGAAAACACAGGAAAAACACGATATATCACTAAATGATAACTTTATGAACACTTGAAACTAAATTTCAGCACACAAATTAACAAATGTAAAGCCAAAAAGTGTTTAATTCTCTGACGAAATGTTCAATTACGCAGCAAAAGAAAAACACGTCAGCTTTCAAACGCGGTCTACTGCGACCATCTGAAACTGTACGAACGAACCTGGACCTAAGTCGAAGCAAAGATAATTTCCAAAACCATGTGTAAATTTAAATCTTCATAAACAAAACCTTCCCAATATGAAGAAAAGAACAATTGTTGCTAAGTATTCCTAATACTTAACGTTGAAATCAGATCACATTTCAAATACAGGTAACCCTGCTTCTCCCCAGAGGGTATCTAGACTACTTCGACCACATATCCCATTCACATTTAGGTACGACCATAACTCGAAATTCCGTTTCTCATTGTTCGCAACATTTCTGGAGCAACAATGTAAAAGGGCCCATCAGCATTTGTTAACAAACCGTTCCAAAGCCCTTTCCTCACAAATCGAAAGCCACCCACGGGTAGCTCCGAGAACTACATGTAGATTTTAAAGTTCTTTGGGGAAGTTCTGAAAATTTTAAAACAATTCCACGAATGTCAGGAAAATAGCGTCAACTTCATGGAATTTCCGAGAGCTACATGTAGATTTTTAGAACTTTAGGGCAGCTGCATTATTTCAGGAGAATATCCAAGAAGTTCCGAAAATTAAGGTTTTGTCCTTAAAACTTCAGGAAAGCGGTGCGTTTGAATTTCACTAGCCACCTGATGTCAGTATCGGTTGAGACAGTTAGAATATCAATATCATTCGCCTCAATGTCAGTAGGCAAATGACATTGACATCGTAAAGGGACCACTAATATTCGAAGTTCTGCCGCAAAATACATGTCTTACATGTGCCAGCTAATCGAGTACCAATATTTAGAAAACTCATCAGAAATATTAAAACAATGCACCGGTTATAAAGAAAGATGAACTATTGAAATAAAAGTAAGATTTTCAACTTTTCCCTAGTGATATTCGAATGGATAGTAATGTCGAAGCTGAACCGACTGATATCATGCTTATTACGAATAACAGGGCCGGAAGTGAAATTTAGTTCTAGACCAATATCTTACGTCATTGTTGACATTGTTGACAGCACGCAGCTCTGCAGGGAAGTCTAGTGAACTTGAAAAAAAATAATAAACTCCATAGAAATTCCCGGAAGTTCATGAAAGTCCCACAAACTCAGGGAGGTTTAGGTTCTTTAGGCCAATTCCAGATCATCATCAGTAAGTTAGCGAGAAGTTCAAGAAATATTAGAGATCTTCAGGGCAGTCCCATTAACTCAACAAAAATTGTTGGATCATTGAGGAATTAAAAAGGAAATGCTTGTAATTTTAATGAACTGTGAGAACATAAGGGAAGTTCCGAAAAATTCAGGAATATTCGTTAAACTCCAGGGGAAATTCAAGACGGTTCAATTTGCTTTAGGAAAACTGTAGAAACTTTTATGAAATTCTGAAAACTTTAGAATATTCATAGAACTTCAGTTAAGAGAACTTCAAAGTTGTAGAGAAATTTTAAAGAAAATTATGGATTTGGATTTCTTTAGAGAATCTAGAACTAGAGATCTTTGGGGAATTACTTAGTGCTTATGGACAGTTCCAATAACTTCAGGGAAATTCCAATACCTGCTCCTCGGACTATGTATTTATTTCTTTATTAATTTATTTTTATATTGTCGTCTATCAGATGTAGACCTTTTCGTACAAGTTTCAAGTCATGTGTTGAAATTAAGAATAGAATTAAAGTACTGCTTTAATCTGATTTTTGTCATTATAAAGTCATATGTTTATTGTAAGCAGTCATAATTTGATTTAGTGGACCAAATTTGGCATAATTTGATGAATTGATAAAGTCAAGCACGTTTTTTGCTTTGTTGATATCGGGGAGGTATGAAATGTAAGCGTAAGTTCCGATAAATTCAGAACAATTCCATTAACTTCAGAAATATTTCAAGAACCCTAAAAAAGTTCTGAGAATTTCAAATGAGTCAAGATATCTCTAGAGAACTAAAAAAAAATCATTGAAAATTTAGGAAATTTCAAAGCATTTTTAGGACAGTTCCTTTTATTTCAGGACAATACCAAGAACTTCAGGATAATTCAGAGAATTTTAGGGATTACTCCGTGATCATTAAAGTAAGTCAAAGAACCTATGAGCGTGGTTCAATAAATTTCAAAGAAATTTCATAAGTTCAGGGACACTTATTTATGAAATTCCGAAAGTTTCATTCAAATTTTGGAAAGAAACATGAACATCAGAAAATTGTGAGCAGATATTGAAGGAATTCCGGGATTTCCATGGTAGCTTCAGAACTTAAAACTTAAGAGATTTTTAGGAAGTTTCATTATATTCAGGGAAGCTCCAAGTACTTCAAGGACGACAGAGGTGTGCAGAACAGTTCCATTAATGTAAAGAAAATTGCAGGAAGTTTCATGGAGATCCCAGGAATTATAAGATATTCCGAGAGTTTTGGAAACATTCTGCATGTCCAGAATTTTTAGGTGAAGTTCCATGAACTTTTCTGAAGTTTTCAAAACTTAAAAATTTACGAAAATTTCAAGGAAGTTGAAGTTTTACAATTATATTAACCTCAGTAAATTACGGGGCTTCTAAAATATATTGATAAATTCGGGGATGTAAAAGCACTTAAAGGCAGTTCGTAGATCTTTCTGGTATTTCAAATAATATAAGGAAAGCACATAAGAAATCAGGAAAGTCACTATTGGAGAAATTTTAAAATGCCGATGATTTTTTTTTTTCATCAACTGTACATCAAAAGTGCTACTTCAACTACTATACAGCCTATACTCAGCTAATAAACTCTATTAGAGTTTCTTTGGAAGCATTTGTACAATCAACTAGGTTGAATTTTAGACGTGTGCAGTTTTACAGGTTTTACACCGCTCCTTTTTCAAAACTGAATAAACTAGTCGAGAAAGGTGTCCATTCTAAGCAAGGAATCAAAAATATCTCCAAATGACAAAATGACAAGCGATCAACGAACCGAACGATAATGTTATGTCAGAAGTGGAAAGCAAACATGATATAATCTTCTTCCTGTTTTTTTCATGACAAGCAGCCCAGGTAGCAATTTGATGCTTAACAAGTGTTGTTCAATAGATTTCAATTCAGCCTTAGTTTGAATAACTGTTATACAGAGACCACGTTAACCTTTTTTCAGATTTTAAACATCTAAATATGGTGATTATAATCAGCCAAAAGCTTAACAGTTCCATAAATTATAAGTTTTTTAATGCATTACATAATAGTCTTCTCCAACCCTTGTTCAGCCTTCTAGTTTTATTTAGAAAAAAAAATTATGGAAGACCACTTCATATCTTATATATTTTTATGGGACAACAAGGTGCTGACTAATTGGATTTACATATTTTTATTGTTATTATAAGTCTAAACATTATCTTTGCTTTTCGGGATTCGAACCGGCAGTCGCTGATTCATAGGCATCAATCAAACCTACTTGACCACTTAAGCATATGTGTGGCAAAAGGTATGATCATTAACTTAAAAC